TCTCTCTTTCTCCTCTCCCTCTCGCGCTCTCTCTCTCCCTCTCTTGCTCTCTCTCTCTTGCTCTCGTTCTCTCTCTCCCCTGTCTCTGTCTGTCTCTCTGTCTCTCACTCATTAACCTCAAAACATCATTCATTTGTTGACGTCGAGCCTTGCTTTCAAGCACTTCCAACCCATCTGTTTCAACCTCTTCATCATACTGGTTTACCCATGTGAGGAATCAATCTGTGTTCTTGTGTGTGTATAGACGAAATTAATAACAATAATCACGAAACAGCTGGCATTTATATAGTGCTCTAAGATTTGCAAAGTGCTTTCCATATATTATCTCATTTAAACCCCACAACAGCAAGATAGACACTCTGGGTATTAGCATTCCCATTTTCCAGATGAAGAAAATAAGTCTCAGAGAGGTTAATTATTTGCCCATTATTTGCTCATATGCCTAGTAAATGTTATAGGTAGTATTTAAACCCAGATCTTCCTGACCCCAAGTCTAGCTTCTATCCATCACATCATGTTGCCTCTCAAACTGATTTGTTCTTTTTCAGTCTTGTGACCCTAAGTGGTCACATAGCAGAACATGGCTTGGTTATTTGTCTATGAAAATCAATAGTGCTGCCAGAGAAGGCTACATCTTCAGAGACTCAGTGGCTAGTTTTTCCTCCTGGAATCTCTGAGAGTTTTACCATCTTTCTCTAATTTACCCTTCCAACATCCATGTGAGATCATAGTCGTCACTAGTAGCCAAACCTAGGTAAACTGCCTTCCTGTGGGGGTGAGGAGACAGTCAGACTTCTTGTGTTTTAGCCCTGAATGCTGACTGTCCCTGTGCTCATGGACTGAAAGAAAACCAAGGAGCAGGACTCACCTTCAATACAGTTTTGTTGTCCGAGGAAGGTGTGCGCCCGGACCACAAGGCAAATTTACAGGGATCGCCTTCCACGTGCTCGGTCACACCCAGTTCTGAGGTCTGTAGACAGGAAAGGCCTGTGAGAGGCGGGGAAGGGGAGGGCAGTGGGGAAACTTAGGGCTGGGGTGGGAAGGGAAAGGCGACAAAGAGGAGAGGACCGGGGAGGGGGCTGCTGTCAATCAAACTTAAACAAGTGGAACATTCTGTTCATCTATCCAGGATGAGAAGAACAGAGAGACAATTGTTCAAAATTGGGAAGGACCAAAAAAGAGTGGAAGAGGAAGCAGTCAACATAAAGAAAATTTTCTTGACTGTAAAATTGAAGTAGGAACATGAGGAAGGTTAGAGAATCTCCCTTTCTAGGGATCTTTCCAGAGACTTCATTTGCCTGAGAAGCTTTAGGATTAAGGTGGGGAGGGGGTGGGGGGTGGGGGAGATGCAACGACCTTGTCAAGGTCCCTTCCAGCCCAAGGGCTTCATGAGAACAGGGAGTTCCCTGTGGACCCCACCTACCAGTAGTTTGTTCTTGTAAACATATTTTGTGTGCCCTGAGGAGTCTTTGATTTCCTTGCTGAACACCAAAGAGATCTCAAAGAGGAACAAATGTCGTTCCCGCCCCTTCCGGATCAGAGACTTGGGATCCCATACTTGGAAGGCGTCCTGGAGAATCAGCTCCCCCTGGACATCCAGGTTCTCGTCAAAGCCTGAAAGACACATAGGCGTCCCCATTCTTTCAGTTTTTTCTCTTGCTATACACAGCCAAGTTCAAGACTCACCTGCCCAGGGCAGCCTCTTTCCACTGATAACCATTCCATTTTCATTGCTCTGGTGACTTCTGGCGGTGACATGCATATTGAGCTCTGGACTCTAGGTACACCTTTTTAATAGTTCCAGCATGTATGTAATATGTGTGTGTGTGTGTGTGTGTGTGTGTGTGTGCTCTACATTCCTCATTAGATTTGGAGATCCTTAAGGGCAAGGAACATTACCTCCAATTTATACTGTATAGACCTCGTTGGGACATAGTATTAGAATATAAGCTCCTTGAGGGCAGGGGCTGTTTTGGCCTTTCTTTGTATCTTCAGCACTTAGCACTGGGCTGGCACATAGTAGCTGCTTAGTAAATGCTTGCTGCCTTCCTTCATATCTTCTCTACTTCTTCTAACTCAGACCTTGGAATGGATTGGAGCCCAAGTCAATGGCTAACTGACTGACTGACTAGCCTGGACTCCAGTTTCCTTGTTATCTTTTCTTCTTGGAGGACATGTATTTGTGTGTGTGTGTGTGTGTGTGCGCGCGCGCGTGTGTGTGTGTGATGGATCACTTTATTAGCGTCGTGAAGCCTAAGCTCCCTTTCTCAGAATAATATCTTTAAAGTAATAAATTAAAATATATAAGATTACAAAGAAAAGTAATTATATTAGAATGTGGTTTTCAAAAATACAAAACAAACAAAAAACCAAGTTCACAGAACCCTGGTCAAGAACCTCTGATTTAAAGAGAGCAATGTTGATGCACAGGTAACTCATAAATAAACTTAGAATTTTTTTGTTTAGGTCTCTGGCATTGGAGGACCTTTCTTCAGGATTGTTCTTGCTTCAATGACTCCCATATCTAGAATTGCATCACATTTAGCAGCGTCATGAACAAAATGCTCCAAGTTCACAGAACTTTAAGCTTGGGATATGTGTCTTTGAAAGGTCAGAGAAGCAAAGGTTACAGGGAGGAGGGGAAAGCCTGGAGGAAGGAGAGAGGGAAGGAATGGGGTAGTGAGGCTGATAGAGGACTTCTAATCAGGTAACAAATGCCCAGATTGGAGATGAGTTCCTCAAAGCTTCCCCTCCCCCATCCCCAACCCCTCTCCATCTGCCCCATCCCTATGGAAATGAGCATCACCCAGGCTCCTCACAGGAAGCCCTTGAGGTTAGACAAGTTCTTTGGGGAAGAGCAAAGACAGAAAAGAACTATCTACTCAAATAGAAATGGATCCTGCAGAAAAGTCCAAATTAAATTATTTATGCTGTATTGTATTTTTCTTTAATTTGTTAAACATTTCCCAATTACATTTTTTTTTTTTTGCTTAGGCAGTTGGAGTTAAGTGACTTGCCCAGGGTCACACAGCTAGTTAGTGTCAAGTGTTTGGTCTGAGGCCGGATTTGAACTCAGGTCCTCCTGACTTCAGGGCTGGTGCTCTATCCACTGTGCCACCTAGCTGCCCCCTCCCAATTACATATTAATCTGTTTTGGCTACATTGGGGAAGTTGGCAGGTGCTGCTTCTGAGCACAGGTATTTCCTTAACTCTCTGCCTGTCAGTCCTGATGCAGGCACTGAATCCTGTCTGTTCTAACACATCCCACCTCTGCCCAACACATTGCTTCTTGATCCATCTGTTCTATAGTTCTATGATCCCTTTACCGAAGCCCTCTCTAACCCAAAGAAACATGGTTCCTGCAGATCAGTGCACTTCTGTAGAGTTCTGTGACTTTCCTGGCCTACTTAACCTGGCAGCAGAGGTATAAGGCTGAAGAATGTTTCTGGATGAGAGATAGAATCTACATAAACTGCATAGGCAAATAAACAATATGCAAATTCATATAAAATCAGCAAGACTATTTTTGCATTTAGAACTCAGGCACATTTGGTAATAAATATGCTGACTTGCCCTCAACACATTTAAAAGGAGAGCTGAGACCCATATACCTTGAATGGCTTAAGCATGGCTCTGCTTGGAGACTGGGGGATGGACAAGTTGACCTATAGGACTTCTTGTCAGTCTGAATACCTAAATATTCTTTATAATTACTAGTGATTAGGGGCTTATGTGTCCATTTGTCACTGCTCTGTCTCATGTTTGGTATTATATAACACTCCCCACCCCCACTTGCCCCTCTGTGCCCAGGAAAAAGAGAAGGCCCAGGGTAGGTAAGCTAGGGATGACTACCTTCCAACATGCTGACATGCATGGCGTCGTTAGCTTTCTTTGGAACGCTGAGCATCACTTCCAGGCCATCCTTGAGCTCCCCTTTCCCTTCTTCACAGCAGGTTAAAAGTTCCTAAGGAAAAAGTCCAGACATAATCAAGGCAGTTCCGACAGCTCCCAACCCTCTGCTTCCTAGAGGCAATGATCACCTTCCCGTTGTCCACCTTGTCTACCCTCAGGACTATGTATACTCAGGACTATAGACAAGGTTGGGATGTGACCCAGAAGCACCAACCATTCAGTTTTCCAGATTGAGCTACCCTAAATACAACATCACCCAGTCCAACCAAAGGAGCATTCTGGAGTAGAAAAAGAACTGAATCTTTTCAGTTCAGTTCAGAAGTCCTGGTTTGAGACCTGGACCTTCCATATGCCATTTGATTTAGAAAGAATCACCCAATCTTTTTGCCCCTCAATCTCCTCACCTGAAAATGGGGATTAAAACAACTACACTTCACACTCTACAGTATTGCCATAAGGCTCAAATGAGCTAATGTTTGCAAAGGAGTCCTGTTATTAATTTAAGACTGGTGGTCATTGGGAGGAAAGCATGACTGGGAAGGATTAGCTGCATGTCGCTTCAAGTTAGCTACACACAAATGATATGCAAGTAAATCCATTATTTTGAGTCTACACTTGGTACTCTGGGCTGTTACAAAGTTGCTACCAATTCATCAAAATCTGTAACATCCTGTGAGTTTTTCCTGACTGCCAATCCTGATGACAAAGGTATAATAGGGCTAGAGAATGTGTAGGGTTGGGAGGTGGAGGAGATGCAATAGTTTAGAAGGGGATATCCCCCAGACCAAGGTATCTAAAGCCGACATTTAGGCAGAGAGACTTCTATCTCCTATGTGAAACTTTTCTTGCTCCCCTTAGCTGAGAGTGTCTCCTCCTTCCTTGGATTGCCTCAGATTTCTTTTGTATATTCACATATATGCACATGTTGTCTTCTCTTTTAGAATGTAAGACCCTTGAGGATTTGTTGTTGTTCAGTCATTTCAGTTATGTACAACTCTTTGTGACACCGTTTGGGATTTTCTTGGCAAAGATATAGGCGTAGTTTGCCATTTCCTTCTCCAATTCATTTTTATAGATGAAGAAACTGAGGCAAACAGAGTGAAGTGACTTACTTGCCCAGAGTCACACAGCTAGTAAGTGTCTGAGGCTGGATTTGAACCCATGAAGATGAGTCTTCCAGACTCCAAGCCTGGCACTCTGTCCATTGCGCCACCTAGCTGCCCCAATCCCCTCATTTTATATAGGAAAAAGAGACCTAGAACAGTTTAATGACTTGCTCAACATCATAAAGTTAGTAAGAGGTAGAGTTAAAATGTGAACCCAGGTCTTCTGACTCCCAATCTCATTTACTCCTTATCAACTTCACTTTGTTATAGTTGATTTGACATCATTGTTAGACAGAAACGTTAATATTTTTCTTGCTTCACTGATTGTTTTTTCTCCTTTTACTTTGAAAACAAACTTCATCCTCTGGTAATTTGATACTGTTAGGGGAACTTCCCAGGCAGAAACAATGGAAAATATGTATTCATTTAGAACAAAATATGCCAATGGGTTTAACCTACTGGTCTACCAGTAATGAGTACTCAGTTCTGTCCAGGTCTCTGCTTCTGGTAAGGAACCACTACACATTTCCTTAAAGCCCAACAAGACCTTAAAAAGCAGAATTGGCCACATGGAAAAAGAGGTCCAAAGGCTCACTGGAGAAAATAATTCCTTAAAAATCAGAATAGAGTAAGTGGAATCTTTATGAGAAACCAAGGAACAATAAAACAAAGCCAAAAGAATGAAAAAAATGGAAGACAATGTGAAATATCTCATTGGAAAAACAACTGATCTGGAAAATAGATTCAAGAGAGATAATTTGAAGTTTTTTGATTACCTGAAAGACATGATCAAAAAAAGAGCCTAGACATCATTTTTCAAGAAATTATCAAGGAAACTGCCCTGATATTTTAGGACCTGAGGGTAAAATAGAAATTGAAAGAATCACCTCCTGAAAAAGCCCAACAGGAAAACTATGGCAAATAAAGCAATTTGTACAGTGAATATCAAACTCCCTAATGGACATATGGCTTCCATTCTTCTATTGTATCTAAAGTCTTCCATCCCTTGGCAGAGATGATCACTAATTAAAAGTCAAGTTACTTGGAACACAAAAGACTTCAATGATGGAAACCCCAGAGTCTATTTGTAAAAACCTTCTTGTTTATTATTGATGTTAATAGTTCAGCAAACTATTTTTTCCTTTTATTCAGCTAGAATTTTTGCAATAGACTTAAAGTAGCCTTAAAAATCATCTCAGAATAGTTTCTGGCATGAATTCCATTTGTTTCCTCTAAGCCAGCCCCCAGATTATCCATTTCAATTCATTTCAATTCAACAAACATTTATTAAATTCCTGTTACATTCAAGGTAGGGCAGCTAGGCGGCACAGTGGATAGAGTATTGGGCCTGGAGTCATGACGATCTGAGTTCAAATCTAGCCTCAGACACTGACTGGCTATGTGAACCTGGGCAAGTCATTTCATCCTGTTTACCTCAGTTTTCTCATCTGTAAAATGAGCTGGAAAAGAAAATGGCAAACCACTCCAGTATCTTTGCCAAGAAAACCCCAAAAGAGGGGTGTGAAGAGTTGGACACAAATGAAAAATGACTAAGCAACAACATTCAATGTATTGTAGAGTGACCCTGCTCACTTTCTTAGTGCCTGCTTTTCTCTCCTAGTTCCTCAGTATCCTGTTTCCAGCAGTTGCTGATAAGCAGATATCTCAGAATTTTCTGTATTTTTCTCTCTTCCAGAACCCCACCCCTAACCTCTTTTGACTATATCTTTCTCAGTCCCTATCATAGAATTTGAGGGATTCATAACACAAGGGGAATTAAAAGAAGTAGTGAAGTCAATGACATTTATTTTAGACATTTTGCCTTGTTTCTTTTAGTCCCAATGCAACTTGGATCAGCTTTATAATCCTAAAAAAGAAGGATTTACAGAGTGGTTTTCAGTAATGTGTGTTGTCATATTGAAATCCAAATGTCCCAGACCTTTTGCAGATATAACAAGGTTAATAATTGACAGTTCCCATTCACATAGCCCTTTAAGATCTACAGTCTGAGGCAGGGAGGGAAAACATTACAAATCCCCATTTTCCAGATGAGTCTCAGAGAGGGTAAGTCACTGTTTTAGAGTCACACAGATAGGAAGTGTCTGAAGAAAAGAGAAGGGTGGTAGGTGGGTATGATGCATGGTCAGGCTCTTACACATATGTAGGAGGATCATGTATATGTAATCAGAGGCACAAGGGGACAAATCTCTGTCCCTCCTCACCCTTATCCTGATGACCACTCACCTCCCCAACTTATTTTATGATCTTTTCGTTGAATTTAATACAGGATCACACTTCTACTTGCTAAGAGTGTCTTATGATGTGAATTGTGAGCAAATTAGATCATGAATCATTACCCCTTTCTGGACATCAGGCTGATTGTTCATTGGGAGGTAGGACAGCATTTTTAAACTCTCCGTTGAAGGAAGAGTTGGAGCCAGCAGTGTTAATACTCCCTCCATCCTCCTCAAATGATTATACAAATACTTATCCGTTCACAGGTTATGCTGCATCGCCCGGAAGAATGTAAGCTCCTTGAAAACAGGGCCCGTTTCCTTTTGTTTTTGTAAACCCAGTGCTCAGTATTTTTTGTTGAACTGAATTCTCATGGTTCAAGGTTTTTTTTGGAACTTCTTACAGAAGCTTCCTTCCCACATTCCCTCATCTTAATGCAAAGGCTTAGCTGGATCTGAAAGGCAACCTGTCAAGTAGTGGCCAGACAAAATGGGGAGAGACTCTATCCTGGCAGTTGAAGGAATGACCTGGTCAAAAAAATCACAGGACTTTGACTATATTTTTTCCAGGCCCCTGGGAGAGTAATATATTTATTAGATTATAAAATACATTTTCCCCTGTGGAATAAGAAGTTTAAATTGCCTTGCTCTTAAAAGAAAAAAACAAATGAGGACTGTTTCTATTTCAACAGCTCCCAGGGAGCTTAAAGAACACCTTCTCCCATTGCCATGTCCATTGCATAAAAAAGAAAGCTTTGTGCTTGACAAACACAGAAATTAGGCAAAAGCTACTCATACCCTGGATTCCCAGTCTCAGGAAAGCTGCCCTTGGTCCTGAACCTAAGAACCCTTGGTTCTTGAGTCAGCTGGAAGCAGGGTGACCATGAGTGTTGTGCCAGAGAAGAGAGAGGGGATTATGTAGCTATCCACCATATATGGTGGCTTCCCTAGGGGGTATTGTACTACACTGTACAGGAAGCTCTCTTCTAGGGAAAGCCTCCTTTCTTCCTATGTTCCAAGTACAAAACATCCTGGAAAAAGGAGAAATCAGCCTAGAACTAAGAGAACTAAATCTTGGCAGTTTCTAAAATGCTGATTTGGGATTGAAGCTAGAAAGGGTCTTGGGTTGGGAACTTGTCCATCATTATGAACAATGCTGAGACACCTGAGTAGGTGACAGGTGGAGGTGAAGGGAAGTAGGATGGAGCTAGGGGAATGGTAGGTACCTTCAGGAGCAGTTGGTACTTAGTGATCCTCTGGACGGGCTTGATTAAGTAGGAAGAGATAGAGTTGGCTAGTCCATGGCGCTGCTGGATTTCCTATAGGGAGGAATATAAAGCAGATTAGATGTAGGTGGAAAAGAGAGAGAGAAGAAGGGAGGGAAAGAGAGAGAGAGAGAGAGAGAGAGAGAGAGAAACAGCAACAGAGAGACAGAGGTAGAGGAAAAGAGAGGAGAGGAAATATGCATTTAAGGGGAGAGAGAAAGAGAAAAGCAGGAGAAATGTGAAGAAAATAGAATAGGCTAATTCCCTGGCACAGCTGTCACTTCCTGTTATGGGAACCTGGAGGACGAGGGTCCACGATATTCAGTATTTCCTCTGTTCTGTCTTCTGACTAATAAATTCCTGCTTCCTGTTCATCCCCTAATCCCTAATTCAGAACTTCTAAAACCCTTCTGCCCAAACTCTACTCACTGCTAGGTAATCCCCATTCAACTTACCCCTACTTCCTCTGGAAGCCTTATCTGCCCACCTTTGCCCTTTCCTTCCACATTGAACTCTGGAACCATCACGTACTAGCTATCAAACTGCCCTTTACCCTAGATATCTTCCTTTGGCACTGTGTCCATCTTGGGTTCATACAAATATGACTCCTTCTGGAAGACATCCCCAATACAAAGCATTCCTTTCATGATCCCCTGACACACCAGACCAGGAAAGAGAATAGGAACACCTCTTATACTGCTACTTCTAGACACCCTCCCCTCTACTGCTGTCACTCAGACACTTCTCCTCTAAGGTTCACTCTACCTATCCATATTTCTCCTTTCAGATACTTGTCATAGTCATCTATCTACCTCCACATGCCTCTTCCTTCTTTCTCAAGGAGTTCAGTACATGGGTCACTGTACGTTTCTATACCCCAACCTCTGTCTTCATATTTAGGCACTTCAAGATACATGCTTCTATCATCTACAATTCACTGGCCATTCAGTTCATCAACCTCCTCAATTCCACTGACTTATGATTTTATTCTATTTCAACAAACCTCAGAGGTGGCTGTGCTTAGAATCTCACCGTTCTGTATAACAGTCCTACTTACATGATCTTGAACCCCAAAATTCCTCTCTCTGATCCGAACCTTTTAGGCTTCCCTCTGTCCTTCTAATTTACTATTCTGATACCTTTTGTGCATACCCAGTGGGACCTTCAGTGTCTTTACCTCTCCTTGTTCTCTCAGTCCATCACCCCTGCTCTGGCTTCACTTTCTTTCCTTCAAATTCTTTTTCAAAAAACAAATTTATCATTTATTTTTAACCCTCATTTAAAAAAAAAACAAGTTCCAAATTCTCTTCCTTCCTTCCCCTCCCCCATCCATTGAGAAGGCAAGATTTGTGATATCAATTATAAATGTGAAATAATGAAACACATATTTCCACATGAGCCATGTTACAATTAAAATGAAGAAAGTGAAAAAATTCTGCTTCAATTAGAACTTGGACTCTATCAGTTCTCTCTCTAGAGGTGGATAGTATTTTTCATCCTAAGTCCTTCAGAACTGATCTGGATCATTGTATTGCTGAGAAGAGCCAAGTCATTCATAGCTGTTGTTACTTCATACAGTGTTTCTTGGTTTGGCTCACTTCACTTTGTATTGGTTCATGTAAGTCTTTCCAGGTTTTTCGGAAACTATCCTGCTCATCATTTCTTATAGCACAGTAATATTTCATGATGATGATAGACCACAACTTGTTCAGCCATTCCCCAATTGATGAGCATCCCTTCAATGTCAAATTCTTTGTTACCACAAAAAGAACTGCTATAAATTTTTTTGCACATATAGGTCTCTTTCCCCTTTTCTTGATCTCTTTGGGATATGGACCTAGTAGTGGTATTGCTGGGTCAAAGGGTATGTATGTACCAGTTATAGAGCCCTTTAGGCTATTCCTTCATATTCTTGACTTGAGTTTGCCAGTTCAACTATAAACTGCTTACTGACATTGAATCCCTATCCCTCTTGTCCCATAGCTACTCGTACCTTTCAAACTTTCACATCTGGGTTTCCTCCACTGTCTGCTAAATGACAGCACAGGAAGTCACTCTGCTGCTTTAGTACACTAGAAATTTATTTTTACTTTAAATCAAGAGTCCTTACTGTTACATATCAAACCTTTTTTTTCTTCAGTTATTAGCTCTAACATTTCCCATAGTTGCTGGTCAAGCTTTTTCTCTCCGACCCCAGATGATACCTTCACCTTCACCTCTTCCTCTCAGCAGAGGACCATGACTCTTACTTGACCAAATGAAAATGGTAAGGCCATTCACCATGAGCTTCATTTTCCTCCCCTGCTCCATATTTCAAAACCTCTCTCTCTCTCTGTCTGTCTCTCTCTCTTGATATCTACGTCTATATCTATATCTATATATCCCATTTTCTGTTTTTCTCCAGTCTCAGATCAGAAATGTAAGTGGCCCTTCTTGCCAAAGTCAACAGCTCTACCTATAGCTTTGATCCTATTCTTGTTCATTTCCATGAGTTTGACTAATTAATTATCCTTTTTTTTTTACTTTATTATATTCAATTTATCCTTCTCTATGGGCTTTTTAACCCACTGCTTACAAACATGTTTCCTCTATTACTTAAAAAAAATAGACTCTTCACTAGGAATTTGGACTTGTTATGCCAGGCAAGGTGGAGCCAGTATAGAATCTTGACCAGCAGAGTTATCTGTACATTAAAACCTGACAATTACCTGACAATTCCACCCTGAAATTCCCCTGTCACCCTGAATTTCCACAAAAACCTGACAATTACAAAACCTGACACCTACTCTTGGCAGCCAAAGAACAAAGTGCCATCAGAGTACTTGGCTTAACAAATCATGAAACTGTTTTGTTTTCTTTTCTGTCAAAGATGGCCATGATGAAAGCAATATTTTAAGAAACTTATTTTGACAATAAGGTGAAAGATATACTAGATGAGTGGAAGACTGGAGATTATTCTGTGGGTAATAATATTATAAAGGCATTGGCCATTTGCTAGCCAGAAATTGTATGTTCTGACATCTGTATGTAGGCTGAATTCTCTGGCACATACAAATGCTTGTTGAATGAGTAAATGAACTCTATCTTGTTTGACCCTTACAATAACCCTAGGTGCTAGGTGCTGTTGTTATCCCCAATTTACAGATGAGGATACTGAGGCTGAGAGACCTTAAATGACTTGCCTAGTGTCTGGGCAGTATCTGATATAGGATTTGAACTCAGATCTTCCTGATTCAAAGTTTGGCATTTGATTCCATGCATTTACAGAATTATCTGTAACATCATTCCTGATTGGTGGATAATTAACAGCTAAACTGTATTTGTTATAAACAAGGAAACCAAAGAGTGAAAAAAGAAGTATGGCAGCCCTTCTTGGGTTGGATGTGACACCTACTCTTGGCAGCCAAAGAACAAAGTGCCATCAGAGTACTTGGCTTAACAAATCATGAAACTGTTTTGTTTTCTTTTCTGTCAAAGATGGCCATGATGAAAGCAATATTTTAAGAAACTTATTTTGACAATAAGGTGAAAGATACACTAGATGAGTGGAAGACTGGAGATTATTCTGTGCGTAATAATATTATAAAGGCATTGGCCATTTGCTAGCCAGATGCTTTCATTTTATGGAGCATTGTCGTACTCACTAATTACGTTTCCATAGCCCCAGGTATCTCTGAGTAAGGCATTACTGCCTTACATTATGATGCCAAAGCATTGAGATATACCCAGCAAGATAAACTAAGGAAGCATTAAAGTGCTCACCCAGCCAACCCTTCTACCACTACCTTGTGACTGTCCTTGGTGTTGTACTTTTAAATATGGTTAATGAGCCTCTTTTCCCCCACACCATACCTCTCCAACCAACAGTCTCACAATCAAAAAGAAGCTAAAATGCAGCCGTTGATTAAGCTATTTTGTCCGCATCACCACCAACCCCAAGAAGAGCTCTCTGGTGTGAGACAATGCTTTGGCCACTGGGAAATAGGTTTGCAAGGAGTGTAAGAAAAGATAACAAGCAAAAGACACATATGTCCCTCATTTCCCCCTGTCCCAAAGGACAAAGGATTTCCACCCTGCCCACACACTGGAAAGAGCAGCTTACATCAAAGAAGGTGCCTGCATGCTCCAGGATCAACTGGCTGGAATCAGGCTTGTTTTTACAGTAGGTGACGTACATCTGGAATTTGTCTGCCTGGAGAAACCAACCACAAGGAAAATCATACATAAACATTTGGTAGACTTCTGTCCTATGTACATACAATAGGAAAATTGACTGGCATCCATGGACTTTGGATGGCTTATGTAAGTCTTTACATGGAGGCAGGGGGATGGATGAATTGACTTCAAAGATATCCTCCTTTCTGCCTGAGGATATGCCCCAACACACACACACACACACACACACACACACACACACACACACACACACTCTCTCTCTCTCTCTCTCTCTCTCTTTTTCCATCTCTGCACTCAAGTTAGGGCAGTGTCCACAGGTCAGCTTTCAGCTATCCTTGTGTAAGTAATCTATGGCCAAATATTCCACTTTCAACATGCTTCCTATGTAATCAATTTGTGTGCTCAGGAAATGTGAACTATTTTTTTTATTGTTCATATGTTTGAATTAAATTTTATTTTTGGACTATTTTTTATTTTAACCTGATTCAGACATCATTAGGAAAGCGAATCAGTTAACTAATAAAGAAAACTAAATGGTACTGGCATGGGAATTTTCCACTGTTTTGAATTATCTGTAACATCATTCCTGATTGGTGGATAATTAACAGCTAAACTGTATTTGTTATAAACAAGGAAACCAAAGAGTGAAAAAAGAAGTGTGGCAGCCCTTCTTGGGTTGGATGTGACACCTACTCTTGGCAGCCAAAGAACAAAGTGCCATCAGAGTACTTGGCTTAACAAATCATGAAACTGTTTTGTTTTCTTTTCTGTCAAAGATGGCCATAAACAGTGAAGGGGAAAGTGAGAAGGTGGAGCTGAAGCTAAGGTTTGAGATCAGCCACTTACCCTCTTGGGGTCTCTGTTTCCTCTTCTGTAAAATGAGGGAGCTGGTCTGGAATAATGATCTCTGAGATCTCTTTGGTGGCTATAATGTGATAATGACCTGCTAGGTTATTCCACTTCTAATATCTATGATCCTGTAACTATTAGCTGGAGGACTAGGCATATCACCCCACTAGTCCTCAGTTTTCCTTTCTAGAAAATGGGGTTAATATCTCTTTCCAACTATACCATAAAATTGTTATGAGACTAAATTGAAGCCACAGACGTGGGAAAAGTAATCAGACCTATGCAAATAAAAGTATCAATCATTACGACTACATGAGGGCCTTATGACTGATCTTTGTTTCCATTTGGATTTAGGCAATTGAACTTTATATCCCTACTGGAGCTCCCTAGGGACCTCCATAGTTGTCTGTACTCACATTAATGAGCATGAGCCCAGGAAAACACAGAGTCAAAAAGATAAAGGAGTTCATTTTGTGAATTTCTTTATAGAGTAGAACCTGGTAGAGTCTACTCATGTGGTTAGTGACAATATTTAGAGAAAGAGGATAGTTCCAGGAGAACTGACCCATTGTGGGAATGCAAAGAGATGACCCTTTTCTTACTATTTGTAGAAATTGTATGTTCTGACATCTGTATGTAGGCTGAATTCTCTGGCACATACAAATGCTTGTTGAATGAGTAAATGACAGAATGAATGATTATGACCACAGGTAAGGGGCTCTAGACATTAGCAGGAATAGTTACAGGCCAGTCCCTCTCCTAAAACAGTATATACATTACCCACATGTTGGGGCGAGGCCTAGAGATTACTTTACTTCTCACTTTTCTCCATCTATAACATGGGAGAAAACCCTTTCCTATCTAATCTACGTGGTTTTCAAAAGGATAAAATAAGATCACTGATGGGAAACTAGCATCTATCATGACTTCTTTACCTTTTTCATCTCCGGGACTCCTTGGACAGTCTAGTGAAGCCCATGAACCCCTTCTCAGAACAATGTTTTTAAATGCATAAAATAAAATATATAAGATTATAAAGGAAAACAATTATACTGAAATATACATGTATACTTTAATTTATTGACCCTAGGTCAGGAACCCCTTATCTAGATAAATAAACATATAGATCAGTATTTCTTAGTTTTAACTATGTTAAAAATGGTAAAATGTCCTAGTTTTCTACCATGGACCCCTTTACCCTCTGTGGTCCCGGATTAGATACCCTTAATTGCCCAGAAGTGTGGGTTGAGGAGAAGAAAATATCAGTTTTAAAAGTTTAGCTTTAAGAAAAAAAGAACCTTGGTAGAAAATAATTATAATAGCTAGCATTTATATAGTACTTTAAAGTCTTCAAAGTACTTTATATGTGCTATCTTGTTTGACCCTTACAATAACCCTAGGTGCTAGGTGCTGTTGTTATCCCCAATTTACAGATGAGGATACTGAGGCTGAGAGACCTTAAATGACTTGCCTAGTGTCTGGGCAGTATCTGATATAGGATTTGAACTCAGATCTTCCTGATTCAAAGTTTGGCATTTGATTCCATGCATCCCACCTAGCTGCTATCCAAATATTTTGAGGATTAGTACACAATTTGCCAAGGGCTGGTATTCAGGAAACCAGGATTTAGATAAATATATTAACTAGAATCCAAAGGCCAGAAAGACAAAAATGGGGGGCTAATTAATTTCAGGATGTTGTGACAGCTGGTTATAGATGGTTTGGTAACATCTTGGGTTAAGTGCTGATGTTCCCATGTTCTGTAACATCAATTTTGTGCCCTGTAAATGGTCTTATTTTACATTTTTCTCTTAGCTGCTAGTTGTTATTGTTTTTATTATTGGATTGAGACTATTATTTTACTGATGTAGGTAACTCCCAGTGAGTAAACTTCCTCTATCAATGTAGATCTCCACACGTGCAAATCTGGGACTTCTATAGTCTTAGAGGGTTGCCTGAGGCACTGAGAGGTTCAATGACTTGTCCAGGGTGGTACAGTCAGTTTTCATTAGAGGAAGAGTTGGACCTGGGGTACCTGGTCCTGTCTTGGAGATTTCCACACTGCCTCTCTTAGCTGCTAGGAAAATATTTTTTAAAAAAATACCCAACTTCCGTTGCCATGTGTACTTGGCAAAAGCCATACCCACCACACAATCTTAGTTAATGGATCAGACTGTTGACTTGGGGGACAGAAACTAAGGGAAAGAAAAGGGACATCCAGCCTAGACTTGGGAGAATATGAAAAGGAGTCCAGGGACTTTGGAAGCCAAGGCAAGGATTGGTTGGAGCAATAGAGACGTTGGGGCCTGCCAGCCCAACAGCTCTGGGGTATGGCTTATTGTTGTTAAGTTATTTTTCAGTCATGTTTGACTCTTCGTGACTCCATTTGGGGTTTTCTTGGCAAAGATACTAAAGTGATTTGCCATTTCCTTCTCCAGCTCATTTTATAGATGAGGAAACTGAGGCAACCAGGGTTAAGTGACTTGCTCAGGGTCACACAGCTAGTTAAGTATCTCAGGCTGGATTTGAACTCATGATTTTCTGGTTTCAAGCCCAGTGCTCTATCCACTGGGCCACCTAGCTGTCCTATAGCTCATTAGAAAATAATGAAAAAAATAAAAACCTCAGGTATAATTGGATCTGAGGTTTAGGTTCAAAAGCCATTCCTGGCTGAAATAATTTCTCCACAGGATCAGATGGGGAACAGTCACATAAGGATCCTATATCCTTACTTAATAAAGCAGGAGCTAGAAACAGTGACTGGGGAAGAAGATGGAGATTTGCTTACCAAGTGTTAGCTGCCTAAATAAGAATGAAATCTCTTGGGAACAGAGTGGTCTAGTGGCTAGAGAGCCAGCCTTAACACCTGGAAGACCTAGATACAAGACCTACCTCTGATACTAGCTGAGTGATCTTGGACAAACATCCATTTCCATCTATATCTATATTTATAAACTGTGTATATCCATATCTATTTCTATAGATATCAATGTAACTATAGATCTCTCTCTCTTTCTCTTTGTACACACACACACATATACACACACACACAGAGTCTATAAACTTTAGAGAAATTGTAGACCTGTCTTGATACAGAGAAAACTCCCTAACCCAGGAGTTCCCTATAAGAATGAAATCATAGGTCCAGTTCCAACTGTGCTTTAACCAGAGAATATGCCTTCTGGACATAGATAAACTGTCAGCTGCCAAGGCTCAGCTGACAACAGGGAAAGGATCCTAGATCCTGGGACACCCAGAAGGAAGTACTGTCTGCCATAAGCACTTGGCAAAAAGTGTACCCAGCTTGCAGTTCTGCTCAATGGAGCAAGAAAAAGAATGCAGTTCTTGTCTCATTAAAGAGATAATTTCTGGCCCTGGTGAGCTGACTGGGCCTCCTTTCTGAACCTTACTAAGTGAAACTCAATGCAACTTCACAGCTACTGCACAGGGTGTCCCAAAAGTCTTGGTGCAGGTTTACATTTATTAAAGCTTATTCAAACTTATTAAAATTTTTAAAAATTCACTAAGACTTTTTGGGACACCTTGAGTTTGGGATCCTCTTTTCTTAGGGCAATAACTTGTCCTGAATGGGCTTGTATCATTTTATGTGCCCTTTTGTGGATCAGCCCATTTGCAACTAGTACAAGGGAAATATGTCTTGCCTTTGTGTCCTTGGGATAAGGGGAGGGGGCATCTGTTCAGGAACCTCACTGGTCTGTGTTTGTCTGTGGGTAGCAAGAAGGAACTAGGAAACGCAATGAAACTGTTCAGATGGATAAGGGGGCATGATAACCACCGAGGAAAACTATTCCTAGACTAGGCTAACAAAGCTCTTGTCTGAAAGTGTACTTGAGGCTTTCTCTGTTTCTATTTTCAAAAGATTATAGCAAAGGAAGAATGAACTAACAAATGATCTAAGGAAGGTGGTTCACATGTGTCTTGGATTTATGAGCATAAGGACAATCTGCAAATATATTAAAAAAAAAAACCGAAACCAAACCAAACCATAACATTCTTCCACTCACTGGCCAAACACACCATATTGGAGAATGACAAACTGACCCATTCCTACAAATGGAGAAACTTAAAATTTGGATAAACTTTAATTAATTAATAAATTAATTAAACTTAATAGATGAACTTAAAGTACAAAACTTAAGTAGGTTCTACATGCTTCCATGGAGGAGACACATAACTAGGGTGGGTTGGAGAAAGATTTATGTGGATTGAAAAAGATGGATATTGTGCTTGGTGAACAAGGACAGAGCACAGAAAAAAGTGATTTGGGAGCCTCTCATTTCCTCTAGGAGACAAGTCAGTGAAATGTATTGTTCTTATCCTTGCCTTCCAAGGGAGAGGATCACTATCCCCATTCAGTGAAGAAAACCAAGGTCTAAAAAATGAAGGGAGCTTCTCCAGGTAACACAAGAAGGACCTAGTTCCCTTTGTCTCATGCTCTGTCCCTCCAAGAAGCTATGGACCATCTATAAGCACTCCATCTTAAGGTAGACTGGCAGTGACCCAGATTGCATGTCAGTCAGTATGGAAGGCAGGAGTCTCTATCCCTTGGCCCTGTTTGGAATTTGAAAGAACAATAGGATAAAAGAGATATTTAAGGTCTATTACCCAGGTGACAAAGCAGTGTCCCACGTCCTCAGGCAACTGTTCATACTTCTCCAGTTCTTTGAGGAAGATGCTGCAATGAGAGAGGGAGAGAGAGGCCAAATCAGACACTCTGTACAGTTGAGCCCCCAGATAACCACACCATGAATTAGACTGAATAATCAATCTGAATCATCTATTTTGTAAACATTGTGGGATAAGATTTTTAACCTTAGAAGATCTTGGCTTTAGAGTCAAGAGGCACCTTGGATATCACCTAATCCAGTAGTGGGGAACCTGCGGCCTCTAGGCCATATGTGGCCCTCTAGGTCCTCAAGTGTAGCCCTGTGAAGTTTGGATTCAGTGAAAGGGCCACACTTGAGGACCTAGAGGAACACATGTGGCCTGGAGGCTGTGGGTTCCCCACCCCTAAAACCCCTCATTTTGGGGATGAGGGATTGAAGTCCAGAGTGGTTTAAAGGCTTCTGGAAGGGTTCAAACCAATACTAAGTGACAGTTGTGATTTGAACCCAGGTCTTATAACTCAAAAGCTTGTGCTCTTTCAGCTGTACCACACTGTATCTCCCCTTTACCCTATACATGCTTCTGGAACTTTTCTTTCCACCATCAGTCATTGGGAGCTCAAGAAATATAAACTCATTTCAATAAAAGTCTGAGCTAGGGAACAGCTGGGGGGGGTACCATATAACATATTCCACTACTAATCAGAAATGATCATCTGGCATTTTAGGTTATCTCTGCCATCAGTTCTTTTGATCAGTGAGAAGAAGAAAGTCGACTGTATACATTTCAAATTGAAAAAATCAACAAGTGAAGCCCCATGTGCTCAGGGAATACAGACTTATTTGAACATAAGCCAGAGCCACCCATTATTAGGAGGCGAAATCTACTGCCACAAAGAAAGGAAAAAGAAAACCAAAGAAAAGAAAGCAGAAGGGAAGGGAAAGGAAAAAAAATTCAGCATTCAAAATCAAACATAATGGATTTTTGGCTTATTCACAGTTTTGGATTCTTTGTGCCTCTGCTTTCCTCTGTTAGGAAAGGAAATTAAGTAATGACTGCACTGATTTGACTAATTCCACCTGCTGTAGGTGGCACCAATCTCCTTGGCAGCCACTAATAGCTCAGGTGAGTGATGAGGTAATGAGTGTGTTAGGATGTCTCTCCTATGTGTATCCTGAATTGCACTTGTTTCATGCTCAAAAACTTCCTTCTGCACAATCTGGCTGGGGGGCAATGGGGATACTTAATCAATACTGCTGATTCCCCTACTGTTCCCTATTAGACAGGAAGCTCCTTCAAAGAGAAAGCTTCAGGTCTGGAATGGGGGCTACAAGCATCCCAGGGAAAACAGAGGAGGTTAGAATAGACTAGGTTCCAGGTGGGGAACCTTCAGCCTGGAGGCCACATGTGGCCTTTTAGGTCCTCAAGTGCGGCCCTTTGACGGAATCTAAACTTCACAGACACTCCCTGTTCTCAGGGAGTGAGATTTCCCTAAGACCAGCCAGGGGAGACCAAGGTCACAGCCATAAACTTATATTATAACTCGATTTCCCCTCGTTTCTGCGTTTTAAGTCCCAAGACCTGGATTTAAATTCTAACTCTGATATTTATAAGCACTGTATGTAACTTTGGGAGAATGACTTAAAATCTCCGAGCCTCCCTTTCATCATCTGATCGGTAAATGAGTTGTAATTTCCCCTCCCCCATTTTAACCAGAAGCCCCCAGATCATGCTTTCCATCCCATCCAGCCATCCACCCCAGGCATCGTGCCATTTGCTCTCCTGTAGCGGCAGCAACCTCCCCCTTCCCCTCCCCCTCCCCCACTTACTTGGAACAGCACCCTCTAGTAGGGGTGTTAATCTAATGCACTAAATTTTGAAATTCTGCCTGGAGAGGGAGCTGTCCTGATTGGTGATTAACTGATGACTGAGTACAAACTCGCCTAACTCAATATATCTAGCCAACTCCAGACCCAGCTGCACATCCCATCCACCCAGATCATTTTGCCTTCTTCTCTGCTGCCTCATTCATTATGATATCCTCCTCTCTCCACCTCTTTCCATTTTTTGCCCTGGTAACCTTAATAAAATCAACATTAATATTACTTCAGAAGAGTGTGACAATTAATTGTCCTATAGCTCCACTCACCATTCCTGGGACTCCCTCCACCAAAACTCTCTTCCCTGGCCACCATTTTTCCTATATGTTATTTCTTGGTTAGAGTATAAGCTTCTTGAGGGCAAGGACTCTCTTGCTTTTGTATTTGCATCCCTAGAGCTTAGCAAAGTGCTTATGGTTGAGCCATTTTACTCATTCCAACTCTTCCTGACCTCTTTTGGGGTTTTCTTGGCCAAGATACTGGAGTGGTTTGCCATTTCCTTCTCCACCTCATTTTACAGATGAGGAAACTGAGACAAATGGTTAAGTGACTTGTTCAGGGTCACACAGCAAGTAAGTGTCTGAGGCCAGATTTGTACTCAGATTTTCCTGACTCCAGGTCCAACATTCTATCCACTGTACCACCTAGCTGTCCGATTAGCACTTAGTAGGTGCTTAATATGTTCTTCTCCCCTCCAACACACACACAGACACTTATTTTTTCATCTCTAAAATGGGGATAATAATGCTTGTCCTGCCTACCAGTTGATGTGAGGAGCAACCACCATCACAATAATAATGATAACCCAATGAGTGTCTTTGGATTGACCAATCTCTCAATTCCTAATGACTATAGAGCCTGGTAGAACTTGACTCATTATGTTCTATGCATCAGGTTGTTCTTGGTATGAAACTAGGGCCTATATCATGTCTATCTTTGTATCCCCACAACCTAGCAGAGTGGCTTATACAGAGTAAATACTTAATAAACATTTATAGAATGGAATTGAAAGCACAATGCGATTTTTAATTTTAGCCTAAATCTTTAATTTTCTTAGAACTTAAATTATCACCAACAGGACCTCTGATCTCATTGGAGTTTCCTTCTCTACTTGTCATACAACTTCAGGGTAGTTAGCTTAGTTATTTTAAACTTAGTTTTAGAAAATAGAGGGGCAATTAGGTGGTACAGTGGATAGAGCACCATGCCTGGAGTCAGGAGGACCTGAATTCAAATCTAGCCCCAGACACCTACTAGCTGTGTGACCTTGAGCAAGTCACTTAATTCCAATTTCTTCCAAAAAAAAAAAAAAGGAAATAGAGATAGAATGGCAGAACCAGACCTGTGATTTCATTGGTATGCAGAACTTCCAAAGGAGGAAACTCCTTCTACCAATGCAGGTTGGCACCTTCTCTGCAATTTATCGCCTTAGGAAGTTTCCTAGAGCACTGGAGAGGTCAAGTTATTTGCCCAAGGTCACAGAGCCAGTATGTATCAGAGGTGGCAGTTGAACCCCGGTCTTCTTGGCTTCAAGACCAGTTCTCTGTCCACTATCCCATGCTGCCCCTTAACAAATAGTGGAAATGATTCCAAAAGAATTGGAACCTGATATAGGTGCTGAGAATAGCATTGTAAGGGACAATGAAATGATTATTTCAAGTTGAACTTTGGCTACCATGTTGAAAAAAGGATTGCCAAAAAAAAACCACCCCAAAATAAAAAATTTAACAGGAGCTTTAGGAGAAAGTGGACTGAATTTGGAGTTAAAAGAGCTGGGTTTGAAACCTACTAGCTGTGTGACCTTTGATGTCATTTAAGCTCTCTGGGCCTCAGTTTCCTCATATGTAAAATAAGGAGATTGGATTGGATGACCTCTAAATTTCTTTATGACATTAACTCTTGCTGATGTATGTAGTATGAAGGTTGACAAGCATCAAAATCTCTATGTAAATGGAGACTTCAGTGCATGAAATTCACTGTGAAACATTAATTTGGCCATAAAATGAAGGTCTGAGTGGAAGAGTGTTTCATGATGAGCTCAGGCAGTCCTATTTTTGGTTTTTACCTCACTAATGTCAGTGACAGAACTAAACACAAATTAAATTTAACAGCATGAAATTTGCTGTTTGCCACAAGGTGGGACATCCCTCGCCCTTTCATTCTTGCTAAGCTATCCCCAAAACACATGTAGACGAGAGTACATACTTTTAATGAGTCTCAGGTATTTATTTTTATGCTTCTCAATGGTACAGGCCAGGGCTTGCTGCTGGACACTCCTTTTCTGGGTATTAGAGACTAGGAGTAAGATTCTTTTTGGCTTGTACCAAACATGGCATTTCCTCAGATAATATAATCAGGTAGGTCTAGGTTGTCATCATTGCTCCACACCTCTAATTCTGGGATATGTTGAATGCTGGGCTCTGGAACATCACAAATCATGGTGTCATCACCCCTGAACCTCTCAAACTAGCCAAAATATGTAATCTGAATTTCAGAGGCCACTTAGTCAAACCTCTATCTGAATAAGAATCCCTTCTTCAATTAATATTGTTGTTGTCCAGTTGTTTTTCAGTCATGTCCTACTCTTTTTGGGGGGAGGCAATCCAGTTAAGTGACTTGCTCAGAGTCACATAGCTAGCAAGTGTATTAGGCCAAATTTGAACTCCGGCCTACCTGTCTCCAGGGCCAGTGCCCCGTGGTAAAGATAATGGAGTGGTTTGCCTTTTCCTACTCCAGCTCATTGTATAGATGAGGAAACTGAGGCAAGCAGGGTTAAGTGACTTGCCCAGGGTCACACAGCTAATAAGTGTCTGAGGCCAGATTTGAACTAAGGAAGATGAGTCCTCCTGACTCCAGGCCCTATATTTTACCCACTGCACCACCTAGTTGCTCCCTCAACTAATACCCACCCCCAGAATGGTCATCTATCCTTCATAAAGCCACATTGGCTCTTAGTGTTTAATGTTTTCCTTTCTAAATGCTCACAAACTACTCCCGTAATATGTTCTGGGAGTTTACCAAGATTCAACATCAAGATCTCACCTTCTTTCCTTTCTTGAAAATGAGACTATTTGCCATTTTCCAGTCCTGCAGCCCTTCTCCCACTCTCCAACACCTTTCAGAATGTCACTAATAGTGCCTCAGCATTCCCATCTGACAGCTCTTTCCTTACTGTAATTCCCTCACTCCA